GGTTGACGTTAAACCGTTTGATGTCGGCGTTTGATAAGTTTTATTGCGACAAGTTGATATATTAGTTGATAGGTAAAACGCTTAGCGTGGATTTCACGGAACTTAGGAAAACTCATTTTACCTACTAACGCCCGGTTTCTGAAATACTGATCATCGTAAATGTCAACTAATCAGCTGTCAAAGGGCTTTTCAAATTTCATTTAAGGTACCAAAAGGATGGTTAAACTGTCTGAATTGATCAGAATGATCTTTTTAATGATCAGAATCGTGTGTGTCCTTCTACGATTTTGATTTAAGTATTGGCAGAAGCGTTTATAAGTTTACCCGACGGTGAATCAGTTTTTAAGGTTAATTAATTAATTTCACGTATCAATCACTAGGCTGACTGGCATGACTGACTCGCAATATGCGGTCAGAGTTGATTTTTACGTGGGGTACGTGGGGCCCTAACGGGGGTAAGGATGGGTTTTGTCGCACTCGCACCGACTAAAACCTCCACGATATTTCACCCCAGGTGCATATTCTCTGGGTCAAGGGAACAGTTTAGTATACTTCCGTGATCTTGCCAACGCTGGCCGCCAAGTAAAGCAGTGGAAAATGAAACCAGCCCTACTAGGCCCCTTTTTCTCACCAGATGAACTGAAAAACAAAAGAATCTGTATCTTGCCCCTACCACAGTCTTTTCTTCCTCTCTTGTCAGAATTTAAGAAGTATGAATTAGTTTTACATTACATGTTTTAAATGCATCTCATATGTATTCACAAATTTTAAGTTAGCTCTTACGTTAGAGAATTCATTAAAATAAAGGACTACAAGTCGCGCGTCTTAAAGGAGCCACGAAGAAACACAAACAAATAGCGGAGGATGTGTGTTGTACAGCCAGCAATCCTTAAGAGTCCTTTCATGTCTTGCTACACCTAAGAAGTCATTCTTCGCGACGCGTTGAAACCAACCGTGTCTAAGGATGCGACTAGTGAAGAGTCGAGTGGTGACCCCTTCAGGCTGCGGTCGTTATATGAGGATGTTTAGCGGGCGAGCACTGCGTTATTCTTTAACATTTCGTTGGCGTTTATAAGCATTGGTATGTAACTTTGGGGACTCTACGGTTTATGAAGCTCTACGTTTTCGAGAATCTACACTTTTGAGAAGTGTATTATTTTGCGAACGCTGCAGTTTACTGCAGTTCACTTTCTTGCAAAGCTTTTGGCTTTTATAAGCCATTCCATTACTGCAGAAATTAGTTCCAAAGTTGTCCATTGCCACGCTTTATATTTGCATACGATGCGGCGTGCTAGTGTACGAGTGCGTCTATTGTGTATCATCCAAAAAAGCATGTGTGTCTGTGTCTAATCTAAACTAATCAGAAGTTATGTCAATGTAATGCAAATTTAGAACCATCTCCTAAAGTTAAAGTGCAAAACTAACAAAAACATAAAATTCAAAAGGGTTCAATTCTAGTATGGTGATAAATATAACGTTGTAAAATTCAATATCAATGATTACAAAAGAAATTGAATACGTGAACGGGCTCTAAGGGTTTCTCGTTATGGAATTCCGATAAGGCGTGGTAGACTGGTGGAGCTTCGACATCCTCGACATTGACTGGGCGGTACTTCGGCGCAGGTAACTCACGATAAATCGAGCGAATGCCTTACCCGATATGTTCCAATTTAAACTGGTAACGCTGTAAATCACCCGCTCATTGTGTAATCAATTCGGAATGAACATTGACTGATTTGAATGTTGCGATACGAATGCCCGCATTTCCCCTAAACCCGTTAATATACTGTCTTTGTTTACGTGTTTCGGTTCGGTTGTTGATTTTGTAGTGGTGGAATTATCGCTCCTTATGCAGAGCTCACCCATTTCGCCATATAAGGTGGTCGCGTAATCAATGATATATTTCACTATATACATTGTTCTTATAGGGATCACAAATATATGTAGTCACAAATATTATGTAGATTTGTGTTTGTTGTTTGTGTATGTTCTTAACTAAAAATCCTTAACTAAGTTTTGTACTAATTAATTATACACAAACAGGTGTCCAATCGGTCCGAATTTAGGATGGGGAGAGGCACCGCACTTTGCAAGGACAGTGAAAAGTTTTTTATATGTAATGTATGATTTTTTTATATGTAATCGTTTCAATGCTTAGTTAATTTCAAGAATATTTTAACGAATTAAACATATTATAATTAAACATATATGTGACGTTATACATACATACATTGTCATATAAAGTGAACCGTTAGGTCAGTTGAACCGTTTAGGAATTCGGAATTTACGTATTCATTTTAGATTTTAGAACATCCTGTTGGGAACGGTAAAATCAACCAGAGTTATCGAAAAATCTCGTTTTTTTTTCAACCGTTCAACTCTCACATTTTGCTGATTAACAGCTCTTAGATGAATGACCATATTAGATTAGACCATATTGTCTTATGCGGGAATCAGCGATCCTATAAAGGCTAACATCTCCATAGGTTGATGATTGATTTATTTATTTTCGACTAATTATGTTACGTATTAAGGGGCACCTTGTCAACCTTTTACGCACGGCGTCGCACATTCGATATGGCTAAAAATTTTAATTCTACACACAGTTGTTCGAAGCTTGGCTGTTATTTTTTGTCCGCAATTTTATTTTCAATCAATTAACCGCGAGACAGGAAATTTTCCTTATTTAAGCTATACTTCTTTCCGCGCGTTTGAAAAGGGATGAGAGGGAATTATTACGATGCGCAACATCTTCCTTTTGTTAACCCAAAGAAGTTTAACTTCTTACGTGTGTACGTAAGTACAAACACAGGTTTTAGGAGGCGTGACCCATTCTTTTGTTACCCTAAAGAAGTTTAACTTCATACGTGTCTACGTAAGTACTTAGACAGGTTTTTTACCCCGAACCTAGGATCCCGATGCCGAAGCCAATAACGTGGCAACTGCGCCACGGAGTCACCAGAAAATTGATCCATAAGAAACGTAAACATCAATTTGTAGTAGCGAGGGGTCTAAGGAAATATCAGCCGCGCTAAACTTTGCTCTCTAAAGGGGAGCAGAATGCCAAACTCGCAAGTTGTCTAATGATGCATAACTTTGATTCAACATAAGTTATGAGCATTGATAATTTGACCCGAACGTGGTATTTAGTTATGATAATTCCACTTTACGTAAGAGTGGTTAATACATTATTAACCTAAAGAAAGTAACAGCCTATATATGAGCTACTGCTAAACAAAGGATCCGAACAGAGGGTATTAGGGCATAGTTCACTATGTGGCCTCATTGCGGATTGGCGAGCTTCACATATCTTAGCAATATTTTTTTTGTTATTATTTCGAAAATATGTAGGTATCTTCTTGATGTTTACCTTTGACCACTGAGCGTGTGATAAGTCAGCATTTAAAATTAACAACTTAATTAATCACCGGGGATTGAACTCGGTTTGCTCGAGTGTATTGAACTAAAAGCGAGCGTTCGGAAACTGAGATATGAATCTAAAACATATAAAATTTTATATTTATATGTACAAAGAAAAATAACCTTAGTTATCCCTCACTTATTATCATTTTTATAGCTGGTTATTCACCCGCTAAGAAAATGTCAATGGCATCTATTTTCATTCCCAGAGGGGAAGCGAATGTCAAATTCCCAAGTAGACTAATGACATGTTACTGTGAATCACTAAAATAGTCGATCGGTAAGTTAAAAGGGAAAATTTTTCCTTTATCTGTGCGCGATTTCTTGGGTATTTTGATCATAAATTTTCTCTATTGCTTTTTATGATAAATAACTTTCATTTGCAATTTGAATGTATATATTTTATATAAAAATTAAAAGCATTCAAAGTCAAAGTCAACGTTTATTTATTTAATATAGGCTTATTTTAAGTTCTTATTGAATATCAATAAAATACTACCATGGGTTCACTAAACTGGATCAGGCCAGAGAAGGACAGCCAAGAAACTCTGCGCTCTTGTTATATATCTTTTTTAATTATAAAAGTATTCAAAATTATTTAATTATAAAATCCGCAGCAGTCAGCGGATTTGCAAATGTAAAGCAAGAGTCATTTTCACACATCACCAATGAAGGCATATTCGTAGAGCAGAATTTCATATCCCTTTTTATAGCTAGTATTACCATTCCTTTATTGGATTTGAAAAATAGCTTTAATGTGGTGTTTCTGTAACAATGGCGTACGATGAAACTTGTACTTACAAAATTTACTTATAATCGCCGCCGGACAATGTACTTAATAGAAATCGCAAATTGAAAAAAGAAAGAAGATGAAACGTTTATTCACGGTCTAAATTAGAAAATAATGTAACTACACAGTATATAAAACATTATCGGAAAAATTTAAAGTAAATGTAAATATAACAACAAAAACGAAAAAAAAAATATTAGATACAATATTTAATATAATATATGTGTTAGATTCGTGGTAGCTTGAAGACCTAGCGATCACTTTTAATACAGCATGACCGAGCTCACGTGTTCAAATCTCAGTCGTCACCAATGACATTGTCAATTGTAATTTTAAGTGCTATTTTATCACGTACTCACAGCAAGGAAACAATCTTGTAGAAATGCGCAGTGCATCGAAATAATTAAAAAAGTGTTAGCAATCAGCCAATTTTTAATACGAGAACCGACTTCATATACGAACAGGTTATTTAAAACCGATTTGAGCACTTACATGATGTGTGTTGTACACAAAGTGTACTGAAAACGAATGCTTCTTTATTTAAAATGGACTAAGCGTAAAATGGTTGGAACGAAATGATTATTTAACGGTAGTTCGTTGAAATAAATTGCAAGAATGGAGCCGGCTGCTTGCTTTCCGTGCAGCTAAAGCGTTAACTCTACAGCAATATACATAAATCAGAGCAGGCGTTATGTATGTTTGTCCGCCCCGAGCAACGCTTTCCAGGAACTTTAAGATTTGCCGCCGCTTGCTATATTATACCACTACGTCGAAGGCAAAGCAGGGACTCATGTCTGAGGTTCGAACAAATAACTACGTGGCAACGATTGCTATTCATAGGTAAATAAAAATGTATATTGTATGTTTTTTCAAGTTCATTTATTACATTCGTACGCATATTTAACCTTCCACTGGGCTTGACTAATCAAAAAAGGATCGGGCTTCTGATAACTTTATCAGATGAGAGACGACGGTTTAAATGCATCTACTCCATGTCGTTCTACTATTTTGACCTTTTTTTTTAATAATCTTCACAGTGATGATTAACGTTCACAGTGATACTCGCTTACGAGGAAACATAGGTGCTGACAAACTTACATACATACTGGTCAAACACCTTCTTTTTCGCTTTACCGCAGTTTGGTAAAAACACCCAATTTAACTATACGCGTTTGTCCCTTAGGTGAACATAGAATTTCGGACTTCCCACTTCCTGTACAGCTATACAGATTTCATAATATCGAATTAATAGCTTGTCCTAGCCGATATCATTACCATCACTTTCTTTCAACAGGTTTTTGGTCCTTTATGAAAATTCTTTGTTCCATATTTGAGCTTGATATGATTTAGCGTTAAGCCAAGCAACGATCGTAGTCTTGCACCACGTGGTCGCATAAAACTAAGAGAGGGCTGTCTTTTAAATTAAAAAAAGGGAAAAAACTATTTGTGATTCTCCCAAGTAATACTTCGCTTCACTGTTCCTATTTCTTTTAGTGCACTGTTACGCAACAACCCTTCCCAAAGAACCATCAAGAACGGCGAGGGGCTGAGAGCTGAATGTAAACAGCATCAAAGGGCTGTGTCTCACAATTTGTCGACCCTTGATTGGGCACGTAACGCCAGCGCACCTGTCACCTTCGACTAAGTGCAGACCTCAAAACAAAGGGCGGGTGTTTGGCCCATGATGCGAGAGTTGCGCGAGAAATTATTCAGTTAAGTTTTTTTCTAATAATCTATTAATAACGAAGACTAGTTATTGGTATAATGACAGTGATTATGTTACATTTAAACATTTTATTTTTATTAATAAACGATAAAAGTCAACCAAAAAATCCCCAAGTCAACTGGGCCTCTGGAATGAGATGATATAAACTGATTGTTTTCTAATTATTTGGTAATTTAGTTATTAAAAAGGGCCGTGATAGCTCAGTTTTAAGGACTCACTATTAATTCAATTGACTTGAATAACCTGAGCTCAAATCTTGATGTCAGCACCGGAGCTTAGGGTAATCACATGAAATTGTTAATTTTAAGTTCTGTATAGAGGAGACTTTTGCTCAGCGGTATTGTTTTTACTTTTATCTATTATCGAAAGGATACTCTTCTTTACTTTTTATCAAACAGTTTCAGCTAAAATTGCACATGTACAAGGTTTACATTTGCTTTTCATCGTGGAATGTTGAATACCCTTAATGCAACATTCAACGAGGTAGTGCTCTCATGATATGGACTTAAGTGATCGTTGTCAAATATCAACCGCTGGCCCGTTCCTGTTATCTCCTTTAAATGTGTGGTCTTTCTCATATTTCTCTATTTTTTTTAAATATTACCCTTACTTTAGGATAACATTATACTGTGTTGTAAGGACGTTTTACAAATATAAATTTCATGGGTACAAACACCCAGATGTATGTGGTGGTGGTGAATATGTGTGGGTATCGAATTTACGATCCCGACGCTGAAGCCAATACCTTGGCAACTGCGCCACGAAGTCATCAAAAGTGATATATTTTTTTCTTTTTTTTATGCGAAAAGTTGTCAAACGAGCAGACGGTTCACCAGATGTTAAGTGAATACGGCCGCCCATGGACATCTGCCACACTCGAAGGTTTCAGATGCGTTGACAACCTTTTGAAAATTGGGTTCCGGCTACCTCACTCACCAGACGAAACGCGAAGGTATTTGTCATACTTTCACTTCTAATTAGTAGTAACCTTTAAAACTGTACAATTTAGAAGCAATCTAGTTCAACAAAATAATTGTATAAGTTCTTGTACCACACACCATGTTGGCAGGTGTATACGATTGTCGATGGCGTCGCTTGAATGGCTGATGCAGGGGATCGAGTTTTGAGCTTTTAGCGTCGAGTGTCTCGAGTTCTAATTCAGTAAGAAGCACACGTGAAAAGAGCACTACTTTATACTTTTAAGCCGTTGATGAACATAACGTAAAAGAACGTAAAAGTTACGAGAACAGTTTTTGAAAGGACCTCATTGAAACTGAAATAAAATAAGTTTTAAATAATCGTGCAAAACCAAACTTGGATTGTTTTCGATTTGAATCAAATGCATTTAATTAAAATAATGTTATTTAATAAGGAATTTTCTAAAGGGTCACATTATGTGACCGCTTGCTTGTTTGCCTCCTTTTTCCATTAAAAAAACTGCGTCTCTGTAATCTACTTATTTTTTTTTAATCATTGCCCTCACTTTGGGATAACATTATCCTGTGTTGTAAGGACGTTTTACAAACATAAATTTCACATGGACAAACACCCAGATTCGAAACAACTATCTGTGGTCTCACAAATAGTTGTTCCGTGTGGCAATCGAACCCACGACCCCCGACGCCAAAGTCAATACTTTGGCAACTGCGCCACGGAGTAGTAGTAATAGTATTTTAAATAATTTGAAATGAAACCCAAACTAAACATATCCTTTTACTTTTGTTAACTTAACGTATTTGTGATGTGATGACGTTTCAATGCTGACATATCCGAATATGGCAAAATACGAAATCAATTCAAGACACGAGAGCCGAGTGTATTTGCGGCAGATTCAACGAACACATAATCTGTGAGGATGTCAGTTTTCTCCGTTTTTCTTGGCAGTATTCCGTCCCGATTTATTATGCAGGTAATTCGTAGCCTTATTTGCGCTGAGATTGCGATTATATATCACGTGTATTAGGGCGCAGTGTGGCCCATTTGAAGCGAAAATCCTCAAAGAATATATCGCAAAGCTTTTCAGACAGACATGTTTCATTTTTTGCCTAAACATTCGATTCTTATTTTTGGGCAGTGTTTGCGTGGGATTGCATGTAATTTAGGCAACTTTCACGGTAGATATGATACGGTGGTGATGCACACACGACACATTTTATTTGCTGTGATTTAGTTTTGTTTTCATTTAGAACAGAAACAATGAAACAAATATTTTTTCTGGTGTTGGATTGGAAATTTTAAGATATTAATTCACAAAAGCCAACGGTCTTGATAAGCGAACATAATAACTAAATAGTATTACAATTCAAAATAAAAACATATTTACTAAAACATATAACATATTTACAATATAGACAAATCGGTATAGTGCTTTTCCTTTACACAAATTAAATAATATTATAAACACAATATATATACATATATATATATATATATATATAACTTGTATAGGATTGTTCCTCATGTATTTAACTGTAAGAACCGAATTAGTCAGCCGAACTATATTCGTATTCGGTTGAACCCATACTTTAACCGCACTGCGGATTAGCAGACCTTACACATTTTCGTAATATTTTTAATCTATATACATAAAAATGAATTGCTGTTCGTTAGTCTCGCCAAAACTCAAGAACGGATGGACCGATTTGGCTAATATTGGTTTTGAAAGTCCAAAGTTTGGCAATCCAAAGGGAAGGTTTAAATTTAAACGATGAGAAATTATGGAAAAATTGCATGGAAAATTTATTTTATCTTATTTTCCCATATAAACTGTTCCTACCTGTCAAACATTTTATGGGGGCGTTCCGAAAATTCTTTTATATGTGTTCAGATTCACAAATTCTCTTGAAATAATTAATATGGCAAAACCACGTTTGCCGGGTCAGATAGTTATGTAATAATAATATACTAGTGGACACCAAGTTTTCGAAATTCGACCAAGTTTGAACAATATTAATCTATTCTCAAATTATACAATACACAATAAACAAAATAGTATATATGCGCGTGCGTGTCAAATACATGGTAGTGTGCGTAAAGTCTTCTATATTGATTTAATGTATTTTTTTATGAATAATTAAAAAAAATATTAGCAGTCTGCACTCGTTCTCTATATAAACGTAGTATATTTCACACTCCTCCGTCCATGCAATTTTCGTAAAAAGAGATACAAAGTTTTTGCTTCACATATTAATGAGACATATCGATATTGTGCCAATGCAGTAACGTCTATTGAGAATCTGTATATCAATCTAGAATATTTGCACACCGTATGCTGTTTATTCTATGGCAAGGCGGGAAAACGCGCCACTGTAGTACACTACTCCGCGCTTTTATGGTAATTGTTTGGAACGGCACCGGTGTAACCCGCAGATGGTTTAGATTTCTTAATACAAATGAACCCTTTTAGTGAATATTAACAGGGACGGCTTTAATTTTGAAAAGTCTTTGTTAACAATGCGTGTATTGTTTCAGCCATACCATTATGATACACGCGCATTGTCATAAAAGCTTATGTTGTTTTAAATACTATCCTATAATGAAGTTGTATAATATTTATTTAAAGTTAAGGTTTATTTCAAAGATGAAAAGAGGTTAGAGTTTATTTTAGTGGAATAAACTACTTGCAAACGAATCCATAGCGCCGGAAGTTTAAAGAGTACAAATAAAAATGAAATTTTTAAAAAAGGCATGAATGAGGTTAATAAAATAATGATTACGTCTCCTATAAGGCCATGTGTTTGAAAAAGTTAAGTTTCTCAATTATTTTTTCACGAGTATGTCAATACTCATGACAACACAATTATCATTTTCCGCGTTTATTTAAGGTACTTATTGCTTTGGAGTCAAATTATGATATTTTCTCAAACAAAGTCACACAAGTAAAGAAAAACACAAATGTTATTTTTAGAGTAATCGATTTTCGTACTGAATAATTATCATCAACTTTAACCCAAATTAAGTCAAATTCATTTAGGATTTTAATTTGCCTTTTATTCATTATTTATCCTGATCTTGATAAAAAGAGAAAGAGCTCAAACTGAAAATTCACAACCACTATCTGGATTTTGAGGACTTTATTCTAAGAACTTATATTATTTGTCCTTGAATTAACGGTCTGCTTATAACCAATTCTACTTAAGTATAAATAAATTGCAAATGAGGTGAAAATAGAAATATTGTTAATATTTATACGGCCTCCCAGTATCAATGGAAAAATTTTCATATATATTGATGCGTTGCCTCCATTTTTATAACGCTGACCGGAGGTTATTGTCTCTCACGAGATTGCCTGCGAAATTGGACACGAAATGTGATTTACTGAACATTATGATGCAGTTTTAAACTCCACAGATGCAGGGCTTTGCAGGAAATGCTATGTACTTTGGGGGTTTCGTGCAGATATAAAAGCAATGTTCCATAATAAAGTACGTTATAACGCTATTGGACCATTATGTGGTAGAGTTACGTTATTTGTCATGTTTAACAGGGCATATTAAGAAGTAAGATTTATGTTAGTATTTTATATTTATGTTTAATATGATTATCACTTCGAAAACCTTTCTAATGGGTTTTATTTTAATTCGAAATAGTTAAGGAAAGAGGCATTCATAAATTTTTAGCACCGTTAAATATGTTGCAAGAACATGTACTACGAAGAGGTCTACGATGTTCTACGAGAATGTAAAAAACGTTATCCTCAATTGAAATTTTTATACTAGATCTCTTCACATGATACTTTCTTGTATATATGCATTACTATATGGAACAATTTTTTAATATTTTACAGCGTTCATAGTTCCGTGACCATAAATCTGTACAAATAGTTTTATTAAGTGTTACAATCCACTGGCAACACTGCTTAATATACGAGCAATAACAATTATACTTAATAAACATTTAACCATATCTGGTATAAT